CGGCGTGGGTGCAGAGCAGCCTCAGGGAAGGCGGCAGTCCGTGTCTTCCGGCAGGCGTTGCCTTCTCGGGGAGGCTGGACTTGATGGTTTAGGATTGGGGGAAAGGAAGGTGCTCAGCCCTAGTCCCAGCACTGCACAGGGAGCTGGTGTCTCCTCCTTGGGTGTAAATTGATACAGATCCGCCACGTCCAAGGACCTGTGCCAGTTTGCCCCACGTGGGATTTGGTGCATCGCTTCCAAATCCCAGCTGAGAAGCCAAAACCCACGAGGCCGCTTTCCCTGGCCCGTTGTCGTGGTCGCTGACGCCGAGCAGTTCTCCAGGACTGGAGAAAACTCGAAGGTCACTGGGGACGCGCTGTGTGTCCTGGCTCACGGCTCTGCCCACGGCTCCAGAGGCTGGGGTCGGGGGTGGCGCGTCCGTGCCAGCCCGAGTGCCGCAGACTGGCTCGCCGAGCTGGCGGCACGCAGCGACCACTCCTGTCCACTGCTGATCCATATGGTGCTACTTCCATACCAGCTCCACGCTTGCTGAGACCAGCTCCACGCTGAGACCAGTCCCGTAACGCCCGCCGTGCTGGGAAGGAGAGGAAGAAGAAAAACCTCATGGGCCAAAAGCGTTGGTTTTAGTGTGGTTTTGTGTGTTCCTTGGTTTTGATTTTTCTTTTCGTTACCACCACGTTGAGCTCTCGGAGGTTGGAGGTGACCCTGAGCTGGGAGAGCGCAGGTGGTGGCAGAGGCTCACTGGGTTCCCCGCGGAGGCAGCACAGGGGCCAGGGGCTGCCCCATGCCATGCTTGGTGGGCACAGTCACTCTGGTGCTTGTTGGACTTTGCTCAGTGGTTTCACAGGCTGTGCCAAGCGTCTCTTCCGTCTGCTCCCATCCTTGTTGGGCTCGATGCCACTGGCAATGCCTTGGATTTTCGCTTGCATCTTAGATTTTATTTTAATTTTTTTCCTTCTAGATGTCCAGCAGAGCTCGCCAGCCTGACTGGGGCAGAAAACAGGGTGGGGAAAACGGGGTGGCTGTGGGGATGGAGAAAGGCAGGAGGGTTGGCACAGGATCCCCGTGTCGCTGGTCCTGCCGCTGCCTGCTGGCAGGGAGAGGACCGTAGTGTGGTTTGAGGCGAGGGACAATCATCTCTCCCTCAGTCCTCCTCCTGCAGCACAGAAAAAGCCCAGCCTGTGGGTTTGTGCTTGGGTGACTCTTACTGGGGGACCGATGGGACGGCTGCTGGGCCCCAGCTGGGGCGAGGAGGAGCTCGGGGGCTCTCACGGCATGTCTTGACTGTGATCTGAGCACATTGAGTAGCGTAATAAACTACGGAATGTTTGTACCTCTCGTTTGTGGTGGTTCCCAGCCTGCTTCTCCTGCGCAGCCCCGGAGATGGGTGTGGGTTTGGTACGTGAATCCACCCTCAAACGTGCATTTTGCTGACCAAGCTTTGTTTTACAGAAAAAAAAAAAAAAGCTTTGCCATTCCCAACCCTTTGGAATGTTACTTGACGTGGGGAAGGAAGGCATAACCTTGGGTTTGCCTTCGGTTTGACAAGAGGAAATGTAGGTGAGTCCCTTCCTTGTCCTTAACAAGAACGGCGCCTCCTGGGTTCCATTCTCCTTTGCTCGCTGCCTTGGTGGTTCAGGATGAGTTCAGCCTCGTGCCAGGGCTCTGCGTTGCTGTCGGCAGGAGCATCCCCAATCCCAGCGACGTGACCAGCAAAAGTAACCACAGTGGTTTATTGGGCAGCTTTTAGAATCATGGAATGGTTTGGGTTGGAAGGGGCCTTCAGGATCGTCCAGTTCCAACCCCCCTGCCATGGGCAG